CTTGGCGGTGACTTTGGCACAGAGGAACCATGGCCAATCGCTTTTTTATCACCTCGTCAACAGAACAGGGATAAAGGCTCTTGTGTCACCTAAAGGTTGGGATGTGGCAGGTCGTCTTCCTGAGCCCAAAAGCTGACATCACGGGTCACCTCTCCCCGCACTTGGCTCCTCAGCCCTAATTATCTAACGGGCCAATAACTGAAAACTTATGCTATTAAAAGTGCCCCCAAAGGGCTCTAAAGGACGAATAAATCGGGGGCTGTCATCTCCTGGAAGCTCAAAAAAACGCTTTTAGGTCACGCTGACCCCAACAGAAGAGAGCGCAGGTGAGCAGCAAAGGCGCACTCATTCCTGATCGCGCAGGTTTCACGCAGCTGGAGGGGTCTCATGAAAGTGAGTCTCCTTTCAAATGCGGAGGCCGGTCTGAAGTGGGCTCAGGGCTTGCCCCCTCTCCAATGCCCTTAGGTTCCCCTCCCTTTCTGCCCAGGAGGTGCGTGGGTCTCAAGTAATGTTTGGTAGAGTCTCGCCAAGTATACGCACTTATCATACTCGCTTTTCAGGAGGAAATTCAGTTTGTAGCTGAAGAAACCATTCTGGTGTCCGTCGATAAGTAATCTTTGTACAGCTCGTACGGCTATGAAATGGTGAAATAGTAAAAAAATAATACAACATGAGAGGTGGACATTGTGGGCTGGGAAAGATGTGTATTCGACATGAACTCTCACTTTGGAAAGAGAGCTCCTTTGCAGTTAGAAACAAACCTAGAAGTTTTTCGCTCCCAATTTGAAAGTAAGCAGTAAAATGGATATTCTTCTTGCTACGAGTAATGGTCTTGCAGGGAGGGAGGAGGCCACGCCTGCCGGATGAGCTGTGGGCAGGAGGACCAAGCCGGGCTGGCCTCAGGGCCCGCATGCCGCGCCTCGGGGCAGCGGCCGGGCCCGGAGGCGCGCTTCTGCCAACGCCGCGCTGAAGGCGGCTTTCCATCCGCTTACCAGGGGCGAGAACTTCGCACTCTCTCCAGCTGGTGTCGGGGACACTTGGCAGGTCAACATCTCACCGCCCCACTGCGCACCCGAAACTAATACAAAATGATGCTGAATATAAACTGTAATTTTAAGTGTTTAAAAAAGAAAATTTAAAAATACATAGAAGCTATGCTACCAGAAAAACAAAAAAGAGTTCTCTTCCAACACAGACGTCATAAGAAATAAGCAGTAGAGATAACAGAAGAGAATCTGAACTACTACTAAAAGTCCCAAATTAAGTGGTGAATCCACAAGCCTCAGAAGAAATAAATGGTACAGGAAGCAGAAGAGAACCTGAAATACTATAAAAACATAAAATACAGTGGTGGAGCCAAAGGAGACATATGATAAAGTAGCCGATAGGGAGAAGCTTAGAGATGGTCCAGAAGTTGTACAGAATAGTTAGCAGGTAAGGCTTCCAATAACCATGAAATAAGGGAAAGGAAGTAGAGGGAAAGGAAGCACAGACAGAAGGAAGGGGGGGGGCGGGGGGCGGGGTAGAGGGGAGGGGTTACTATAGAGAAGTAGAATCTATAAAAAAAGAAACATTCTGGAAATGCAAAACACAGGATCTGAAATTGACACCTTTTGATGGGTTGAAGAACAGCCTGGACAGACAAGACAGGATTTGTAAACTCAAAACGGGCCCGTCGACGGAATTCCAGAAACAGACGGTTTAAAAAAAAGGGAACAAAATAAAACATGTAAGACACATGAGACACGACTAAAATGTCTACCATACGTGGCACTGGAGCCCCAAGGGGAGGGAGGAGAGAGAGAAAAAAACTAGGACCAAAGAACTATTGGAAGAAATAATGTCCAAAGGCTTTCCAAATCTGGTGGAAAATAACCACATATTTAAGAAATTCAGTGGCCCTCACACAAGATAAATACATAAAAAATTGCAGCTCTTATTTTTATAAAAACTAATAAAAAAATTTAAAACAGACAGGAAAAACACATTATCTTCCACAAAATAACAGAAGTACCAATGAGCAAAACTATATGCCAGGAGACAAGATGAAAGAATCGAAAAAGAAAAACAAAACCACCTAAGGAAGGATTCTACACAGAATGAAAATACCCTCCCTAAAACAAAGACGAAATGAAGACTTTATCAGATAACCAAAGCTGAGGGAATTGTTGCTAATAGATCTGCAATACAAGACATAAAAGGATGTTTTTCACTTCAAAGGATAATGACCCCAGATGGAGAAGAAGAAAAAAAATGGAAGCACAGAAACAGAAGTTCAAGAGCATCCGACCTCCGGGGGAGGAGGCCACGGGGCGGCCGCGCCAGAAGGACGGAGGCGAGCGCAGCAACGGAGCGCAGCTCCCGCGGGCTCATTGCAGCCTCTCAGGCCCAGAGAGCGGAGGCCGGTCACGGCCGCGGTTTCACATCCTTAGGGTGGCCTCTAAAATAATGATATAAAATCGTATAACAGAAATAGTGCAGAGAGGGACTGAAATCCAATAATAAAAACGTGATTTATTAATGCAAAAAGAGTAGTACCCTTAGCAAACACTCAAAAGGAGTGTGACTGTTTTTAACCCACGTGTGAACATGGGAAGGCAGCGCTTCCATTCCGGGTTTTCCCGCGTTTCTTCCCACGCTGTTAGAAGCGGCCCCCACCTCGGGGCGGCCTCCACGCCCTTTCCCGCTCCGAACCAGTGTGACCACAAGCGCGGACCCCTGTCCTCCACCAGCCGATCTGACTTGCACTCCGGTGCGCCCTGGAGGGAGTCGCGCGCCTGCTCAGGTCGCCTGACGGTTACGTCGTAAGGCCTGCGACACCAGGACACGCCTGTGCCCCGCCCGCCCAAGGGCCCAAGCGGCCCGCAGGCAGAATCGGGCCCGCGCCGAGGCGATCGCTGCTCTCCAGACGTGCACCCCGTTCCTCTGCTTGGCGCCCTCGGAAGGTGAGCAAGATCTCTCAAGACGGGAAGAGGGACGGAGAGGGCAGGCGACGTCCCGATCGAGGGCTCCTCGGGTTTAGATCCCAGGGTCTCAAAACCCACGTGGCCACTTGTTCCCGCGGAGCCCTTGGACTCAGGTCCTCTTCTGTAAATGCAGTGATTTCGAAACGGTACCCGGGTCCCAGAGGGTGGCCGTATTCTTGCTGATGGCTCCCATCAGCGTCCTTATTCCTTCCCCACAGGACAGGCTTCCCAAACCTACCCAGGACTTCAGACTCTCGAGTGTTGCCCCAGGCCCAGCAGCGCCGTCACCTCTGCGCCGTCACCTCGGGGCGGGGCGGGGGGGGGGCAGGGGCGGGGGGGGCGTGACATTGCTGTTAGAAGATTTAAAAAACCACCCTTTTAAGCTCTGCTGGACTTTTTCCTTTTTTTTTTTTTTTTTTTTTTTTTTTTTTGCACAGACACAAGTCTCTACCCTCTACCCGCTGGAAGCGCGCTCACACGATCGCCCCGTTTTCCTGGAAGCGCAGAGCAGATCGCACTGCTGGGGGGACAGCGGGTGTCCCTCGCAGGGCAGCCCCCGCATCGTGGTGGGAGAACCCGCGCCGAGCGCGTCTGCGTGGCGGCCTACGTTCCCATCGGCCTGCGCGTGAACTGACGCAGCCACAGGCTGCCACCACAAGGTGACAACTCTACGTCCCGGTGACGCGGCTGCGGCCTGCGCCCGGTCGGCCGCGGGGAGCCGGGGGTCAGCGGTGCCGGAGGCGGCGCTCCTCCGCGGCGGCGAGCCCGGCCTTCGGCGGCGCAGGCGGACGAGCCTCGCAGCCCACCTCCCTCTGCCCCCTGGCCCGCGTTCGTGTTCCCCTTTAGTTTTGCCTCCTCGAGAAGCCTTCGAGGGGATGGGTGGTCCGTAAAGCTGAAGTCAGCAAGGGGCGCCGTGTTTCGTTCCCAGGGCCGGGCAGGGCGTCTGCGCGGGTCGAGGGGCCGGAGCTGGCCTGACCTGCCCGTTCCCGGGCGCCCTCCCAGGCCGCCCCCCACGGGCTGCGGCGGCCTCGAGAGCCGGTGGCCGCTCCCACCGGGCCAGGGGAGCCCTGGGAGGAGCGAACAGGCCCTGAGCGGGGCGGCCCCAGCGTCTGCGCCGAACGTCCTCGCTGCGCCTTCCCTCTCGTGACGGACCCACGGCGGATGGCGACCCCCAGCGTGTTTTCCCCTCTGCTTTCCCGACAGTGCAGACAACTGGCCAACATCCGCCCGCGGGGCTCTGACCCAACCCTGTGCGCGAGTGGCAGGCGCTCCCGGACCGGACGCTTTCGCACCCGGCCTGCCACGGTGCGGCAATGGCGCCACCTACAGAGCACTGTGTGAAAAGCACCCGGGCCTGGGGGAGGGAAGCCCGCCCACAGGGGACCGAGGGACCAGTGCCACTGTTCTGAAGTGCAGCACCTGTCTTCTCTGTACGCCGTTGGTAAGGCAGTGCCATCTTTGCATTTCAAGGGCAGCCCTGTATTTTCCGCTATCCATGGTTTATTGTGTTTAAAAATTTGAAAAAGAAGGCATACAAAAGTAGAGGAAGAGGACATTGGGCAGGAGCATCCACATCCAGTAGAGCCCGGATCATGACTCGCAGGGTGGGGGCCGCACCCCCCGGGCTGTGGCTGCAGACGCGGCTGCCAGTCACCTGGTCTCCAAGCAGCAGCTACTGAGAATGGGTCCTGCAAGCTCCGCGGAGGGCCTCCCCCTCCGGCCCTCGCCCAAATGCTGGGGGCCCCCAGAACTGCTCCTTCCCCTCTAAGGGACCAGAGGGCACCCTGCCGCCTTCAGCCCGGCCCTCCCTCCGCGCCATCCGCGGCCTGCGCTGACCGCCTGAAATGGGCCAACGGAGGGGCGGGACCGGTGCCCCTGGGTCCTGTCCGGGCCCCCTGCACAGGCCGCGGGCCGGGGGCAGGGCCTCCTCCTGAGATTGGTCCGCCCAGGCCCAGCCCTTCGGGGGCCAAGGCGGACAGTCGTATTTTTCCTCACATCCGGAGGTGACGCAGGAAACATCACACTAAGGTGTTTTCACTTCCTTTTCTCCCTGCCTCAGTAAATAGGCGCATCTTTAAAGTGATTCAGCCACAAACTCTTCGGCTTTTCGTGGTCTAGGCACTCATGGACAAAGGACGCGCAAGGTAAGGCTGTGCCGCGTGACCGTGGAAACAAAGCCTTAATCAGTCTTAGGAACTAGCATGTCTCCTGCTGGAGTCTGAAGCCTCACTGAGACTGTTTGTGGAAGCGCACTCTCACCAAGGCCAGAGCCCCCGAGGAGGGCGACACCCCCTCCCCCTGCGGGGAGGGGAGAGGAGGGGAAGGGGGCACGCAGAGGCTGGGCACCTCGAATTGTCGCCTGGGACCACGGTAATCAGCCCCCAGTCTCACCCGGTCACAAAAGCCTGCCCTGCGGGTGCGGTCTGGGCCACAGCTGCCACCTGCGGCCCCGCCCGCATCCAGCCGCGCCCTCAGGGCCTGACGGCGCCGACGCCGGGGCGGCCTTCGCAGCCGCAGCCACACACTCCTGTCCCAGTCGGTCCCCACCCCCCATCTCCTTCCTCCTGTTTGCCGGTCGTTTCTTCATTACTAAAAGAAGCCAGCTGTTACATTTTCAGGAAAGTCCCTCTTACGTAGCATTCTTTGTGGGTTCGCTCACCTTCTCTGCTGACCGGATCCGAGTCTCCCAGAGCACCCTCCTCAGGCTCAGGCATCGCTGGGAAATGTGAGGCCGCGCTGCCTCGGCCGGCCTGCCTGCTCGCTCAGCGACCCTTGTGGCCCCGCCGCCCCGCCCCGGACGCACCCCCCCACAGCTGACTGTCCCGGACACAGCTGGATCCTCCAGCACCGCTCCCGCTCCCGCAAAGGCCTCTGTGTGAAAGCCGTCCCCCTGGACGGCTCCCCGGGTCTCCCTAACCACCCCCGGGAGTCCTTGCTGCACAGCTTTCCTAGCCGAAACCTTCCTTCGTCCCGAGGCAAGTGGCCCGCCTCGCCTAGTCCGAGGGCTTCCCATTCCAGCCGTCACTTTCAAAGTTCCCCTTGGCCCCTCAGGGCCTTCTCTACACTTCCAGGGCGACGTTTGTGTCTCTGACACCTCCTTTGCTGTTTAATGTTCATTATATTTTTATACAGATAGTCTGCCTTCATGAGAAAAATTATCAAGGGCAGAAATCATAATGCTTACTGCAGCATCTTAGAGTTCACACTTCACAAGGCTGCGTTTTAAAATGTGAAATATTTTCCAGGTACATTGGTGTATTCGTCTTTGCCCATTTTATAAAGTCTAGCTTCATTGTGTTCTTGAAGCTTTAGGAGTGACTATTAGCAGTTATGGCCTTTATTCTGTTGCAGTATGTTCCCTCTCTACCCACTTTGTAAGAGTTTTTATTGTAAATGGATGTTGAATCTTGTCCAACGCTCCTCTTCACCTGTTGAGATGGTCACGTGGTTTCTGCCTTTCGTTGTATTAACGGGCTGCCCCGCGGTGACTGAGCGGCAGGTGCTGAGCCAGCCTGGCGTCCCTGGAACAAACCCCCTCAACCACACTACACGGTCCCTTCAATGCACTGCTGAGTCAGTTCGCTAAAGTTTTGTTTGGGACTATGGCATCCATGATCCTCAAGGATATTGGCCTGTAGTTTGTTTGTTTTTTGGTGCCCCTATCTGGGTTTTGCATCTGGGTCATGCCGGCCTCATAACATAGGTTTGGAAGTAGTCCCTTCTTTTCAATCTTGGGGGAGATTTGGGAAGGACAGGCATCAAATCTTCCTTGAAAGTGTGGTAGAACTCACCTGTGACTGGGCTCCTGGAGTTTGGTCTCTTGGGATGTTTTTGATCACTGATTCAATCTGCTTACTAGTAATCCATCTGCTCAAGTCTTGGAAAATTGTATGTTTCTGGGAATTTATCCATTCCTTCCAGGTTGTCCAAATTGTTGGCACATGATTGTTCATACTAGTCTCTTATAATCCTTTGAATTTCTTTGGTATAAGTTGCCACTTTTCCCCTTTCCTTTCTGATCTTCTTTGGGTCCTCCCTTTTCTTCAGTCTAGCTAAATTTTGTCAATTCTGTCTTTCCTTTCAAAGCACCAGCTCTCAGCTTCCGTGATCTTTTCGCTTGTCTTTTTGCCTCTATTTCATTTCTTTGTACTCAGATCGTTACTGTTTCCTTCCTCCTACTACTTTTGGGCTTTGCCCTGTTTCGCGTTCCTGTGGGTGTCAGGTTAAGTGGCTTATTTGTGATTGCTCCCTTCTCTCGAGGCAGGCCTCGATCCCTGCAGCCTTCCCTCCTAGAACGGCCGCGGCGGCCTCCCACCGGCTGCGGGGTGCAGTCCTCTGTCTCGGCCTCGGCACGGGTGCACGAGGAGCGGGGCACACCCAGGCAGCGGCCGCTTAGGGGGCTGCGCACATGGCCCTGGGAGAGGCCCAGCAGGCCCTGCCGCAGGTGCCGTGAGAGTAGCAAAGGCGCCTCCTCCTCGTGTGGTCTAAGCCCTTTCCAACCTGCTGCTTTTGCGCTGGGTCCTGGGCGAGCAGGTCTCATCTCAAACCCTTTAAGGACAGATCTCTGTCCCCCACATCCCCACGTTTCTCCTGGCCCTGCTGGTTTTCAAAGCCAAATGTTGGGGGACTCACCCTCCAGTGCAGGCCCCAAGGTTGGGGTGTCCAAGGTGGGGCACAGACCCCTCACTCTCAGGGAGTAGCTTCATATTTGTGAGATCCCTCCCAATTGGGGGACGCCACGCAGGAGTGGGGTGTGCGACGAGGCCACTGCTCAGCCTCTCCCGTCCGCCCTGATGCGGCCCTTTGCTCACACGGTGCCCAGCAGCTGACTGGCTCGTTTCCCTTCTTGTTCCGAGGGAGCCGCCCTACAAGCAGCTGCAGGTTTGCTGCGCCCGTGGGAGGAGGTGAGCACGGGGGACTTCCTGCACTGCCATCTGCCACCGTCCCTCAGCCCCTTTGTGGTGTTTGAACCCTCTCAGGCAGGTGGAGGTTAGAAAGCAAAACTGCTACACTTGAAACGCCTACTCCCTCCAGAGAAGTGATGTAACTGTAGGTTTCTCGGGTGTTTTCCCCCCTTGAAATCCCCTCTATTAAAATTGCCTTTGGCGGTTTGTTAAAAATTGATCTTAGAGAGTTCCTTTCTACCTAGGTTTTCCTGCGCTCGCACAGCTTTGTAACTGTAGCAGCCGCGGAGGAGCCAGGCTGGGTGCCCGGGGCTGAGCGTGACGGAGCGGCCGCTCGCTGACCCCTGCCCCCCAACCCAGTCCAGCTCCTGAAACACTATACGTGGGGGGGGCGGTAGGGGGGAGAAAAGCTTCCCCAGGCTGTCTGGCCATTTAGCAGTAAACACTGAAATTATGATCTAATATCTAAATGCCCCCTAATCAAGCTTTGCAGAGGTTAAAACTCTCACCTTGATAATTAAGTGGTTAGCAACAGTGCTGACCCATTTGTTTTCCATTAGGCCATATCTGGAGCATGCACGCACCACATCTAGGAAGAGCCACACGGGTAGTTGCTGACCAAATAAGAATCCCCGAAGTCAGTGAACCTGGTTCACTTTTAACGGCTTCACGAGGGGGCGGCCACCTCTGTGCGGCGACAGGGCACCCCGTGTCCCCGGAGGACGGTGCCCGGAAACAACCCCCATGCGCCCGCGCCCGCGCCCACAGACACCGAGCCGCTGGCCGCCTCCCGGCTCTGTCTGTTTCCCTGTGTCCGCACGGCACACGCTGTTCTACCCGTGTTTTCCTTCACTCGTGCTCACGTTAACGCACGTAAAATAAAATGTCTCTCTCTCTCTTGCAAGATCTCAACGGCCTGAGCTCTCTGGTTCCCCAGCCTTGACGCTGAGCCACTGGAAGTCCCCAAGCTGCCCCCTCGCTGTCACCTGGCCACGGGGCCAGCGCAGGAAGACGAGGATGAAGAGACGCCGTGGCCACGAGGCCGCCTCCGCATGGGGATCTCGGCTGCTGACGGGGAAGCAGCCGGCGCCGGGCCCATGGCGTTTGGGGGGAAGCGGGGAGACTGAGAGGTGGGGCGTCAGGGCGAAGGGGGCTTGGGTGGGCCGCGGGAGTGGGCAGCCCTGCGGGTCTGCCCGAGCCCCTCGCGGGGACCGGCCTGGGGCGCAATGGAGGCCACGGGCCCGCGCGGAGCTGGTTCTCTCTCACCTACAAACTGCACAGACAGCCCTTCTCCGCAGCAGGAAGCCTCATGCCCCTGGTGAAAAAGACGGGCCTAAAAATACAGATATATTGCAATGGAGGGGTTTAAATGGGCCTCACTCAGCAGAGAACCGTCCTCCTTGTGCGCAGAGAAGCCAGCACAGCGCAGGCCCGAGGGGGAGTTGGGCAGGGCTGAGGACGCATGTCAGGGAGGCAGAGGGGACCGAGGGAGGCTGAGCCTGGAGGCGCCGCGAGAGGGCCCGGGGCCCGGGCACGGGCTCCACAGCCTGCCCCGCGGCAGGACGGCAGCCTGTGGCACTGAGGGGACATGCCAGCGGCTCCTGGCAGGACCGTGAGAGGCTCCAACCCGGGGTCTGCCTCTAAGTCTCCGTTGTCTGTCACCTGCTGTGTCCCCGTCCCCTTCGACATCGTGACTGTTGGACAGGCCTTGTCTGCAAAACATGGTATCACCGGGTGTGAAGTTTCCACAGGGTCCCAGAAGCTCCATTAACAGCGTGTGACTCTTCCTCAGGGACGAAGACATTTTTATTTTCTCATCCGATTTGACAACATGGAAAAAGCCCCATCACACTGAGTGGATGGGGAAAAGCTACTGGCCAAGTGCGTGCAACACTTTAAAATCCATGCTTACGGTCTGCGCTATGAGGGTGGCTCACTCATTTTTCAAAATCGTGTTTTCATGTACAATGTCATATATTTTTATGGAAAAAATGACTTAAGTTTCCCTCTTGACAGCATTTGAAGAGTTAAAATAAAGTCTTTGACAGTTGCTCAAAATGCTTTTCTCTTCTTCAGATTAAGCTGTGAATGGCACTCATGACGGAGCTGCTGTTGTGACGAACGCCGGCATCTCAGATGTTCAGAGGCGGGCGGGGCAGCTGTCCCTGGGGACGCCTCCCCTGCTTGGGCCAGTCGCACAGCCTGACCTCGATGTTGCCGTCGCTGAACGCCTCTCCCTTGGTCTCCTGGATGGGGCTCTCCCTGCGGCAACCCACGGCGCCCTTCCGCGTCCTCGCCGGGCCCGGGGGCCCGCGCCTCGGCGCGGAGGGGCGGGCTTCTCTTGCTACACAGTGGCAAACTGCGGAGAAGAAGTTCTTCTTGAAGTTCTCGTTCATGAAGGCGTACACGATGGGGTTGCAGATGGAGTTGGAGAACCCGATGATCTGCACTATGGCAAAGATCATCTTGACGGTGGCCTCGTCGTGTTCCTTTTCGAAATCGCCTGAAATAGAGAGACAGGCTTGAGAGCGCGTACTTGTGTTAAGGATCCTAAAATAAAAGTTCTGTTTCCCGTCCGTCTTTCCCCGACACTCGGACACGGGGGGAAAGGTGTGAGAAGTCCTCCAGACCATCTTGGGGGGGCCCATGTCATCTAAAGGGAAGTCAGCTCTGCGCGTCGCCCTCCTTCTCGGGGCCCCAGGCTGATGGGCGCAGCCTGGGCCCAGCCTGGCCCAGGGTGTCCCCGCCTTTCAGCTGGATTCCAAGCTGCAGGTAAACCGGGAACAATGGTTGCTCCTTGGATGTTCACTGGTGTTTTAGAAACAGTCACCTGAGAACCACGTGACATCTGAGACTATTTGAGAGACTTCACCAGGGGGTGGAAATCCCAGGTGTGACTGAATTCCGGTGGCTCACATCAGGGTCCCAAAGAGGGGACACGTAGCCTATCCCTCCCTCCCACAGTGAATAACTCGCGGGGGGGGGGGAACAGAAGGCGCCACAGGGAGGGAGAATCTCAGAATCTCTCCTTGGTCTTCTGTAATCGCAACAGATTTGGCCATAGTCATACAGAAGTATCTACCATGTAACGGTCTCGTGGTCTTGAAGCCATGAAATATTTGATACTTGATTACCCAAGTGAAAGCAACGAGTGTCGGTGATGCACGGCCCGCGCAGCAGGAAGCAAAGCGACACTTCTGTCACGGGGGAGAGGCGAGCACTCACTGTATTCGAGCACCATGTGGACAGTGTGGAAAGGCGCCCAGCACACGGCGAAGAGGGCCACCACCGTCACCATCATCAGCACAGCCCGCTTCTTCTTCCTGGGCCCACAAGGACACATTGTATCGGTTAACCTCCCCGAGGAGCTACGAAACAAAGTCTGAGCCCAGACGGCTCAGCCCTGGCGCCGTCCATGCTAACGACGTCGGGACGGGTTAGATGTGGGCTCTTTGTCATCTTTCCTGTCGCTCTGCCCCGCACCCGGGTATTTCACATCATAAACACCCTGCCACGCGTGCTCCTTGCGGGTCTAGCCTCCGGCTGCATGTTGGGCGCGTGTTATGTCATTAATCTCCCCAACGAGCCTTTGACAGAGGCAGAAACTGGGGCACAGGGAAGGTTAAGTGACTCGCCAAGCCGGCCTGACAAGGGGATCGTTGGGATGGAAACTCAGGCAATCTGACTAAGACCTCTAAGCTCTCATCCACTTTATATCAAAATAGAGAGAGAGAGAGAGCAGTCATCCCTGTGATACGAACATATCAATATCCATGAACTCGGGGAAGGCCTAAGATACCATTGAAATGTAGACCGTTGTTATATCTCTCATAGAACACGATTCACCAGGATTTCAAACTCATTTCCTCTGTTACTCCTGCGAAGGAGATAACCACACGCCAGGAGTCTGCATGGTGCTTTACATTTATAAAAAGCCATAGCCATTATTTCTAATTTCAGCGTGGGACCCCTTTCTTCCAGGAAGCAGGAAGTTCTAAGATGCCGAGCACCCCAAACCCGGGGAGGGACGATGTCTTCATACAAACCGGGCACTAGAGGGCGCTGCACACTCGAAGAACTGCTAAAATCTCATCAAACCACCAAACTTAGCAGGTTTTGTTTCTCTTTGTTTTCAACAGCCATTTGATGTAGATTATAAAACGAACCATATGCACTGCAAGTACCATAGCAGTTAAGTTGCATTTTACATTTTCTGTTAATGCATGCCATCAGAAAACACTGCCCGGAGGTAAAAATAAAGCGTATCAATAATTAAATAGCACGCCACAGTTTCCAAAGGATTTCCCTGCATATCGTCTGCCTATTTCAGCGTCCTGCTGGGCTCCCCGGGAGCAGGGCTGGGAGGGAGGAGGCTCACCCACATCGTGGGGCCAGTGGGTGGCAGAGAGGGGCAGGTCCACAGCTCTCCCTGCTGTCCCGAGCCAACACGCAGGTGAAAACAGAACGCCTACCTTCCGAGACAGGTGCTGCCTGTCACGGTGGAATCAGGAGCTGGTGAGCCTGCTCTTGTTTCCTGCCACACACAGAAGCTCAGAAGTTTAGCCAGCTCCCGCTGTCCCCGTGAATGTCACAGGTTCCCGCCTGAGCCACCCAGGAATTCTGAGACCGTGGGCAGCTGGCCCTTCCAGCACAACTCACTAAGAATGCTTTCGGCCGAGACGCACATCCCCTGGCACCGACCTGGCCACCTTGGACATTTCCTTCCCGTGCATGGTGCCAAGCACCGAGCTGTCCGCCACCCTCTTCTTGATCCAGAGTTCACAGCCGATCCTGCTGTACAGGCTGAGCATCACCACCAGGGGCAGGAGGAAGAGGATGACGAGGATGAAGGTGGTGTAGACCTTCTGGTGCACGGGGCTGGCCCACTCCTCCAAGCAGCACACGTGTTGCTTCTCATACAGGAAGTCGTACTTAATCTTTGAAAGGAGAACGACCCATGAGAAGGCCGCCGCCGCCGGCTGTGCCGGCGGCCGGGCGCCACGGGAATGCGGCGGGGCAGCCACGCGCCTCCAACGGCAGGGTGGCTTCCCCACATCACGGCTCCTATCCTTCAGAGTTTTGCACCCTCTTTTCTATTTCAAATGGAATTGAGGTCCAGCACCTGTTCACTTGTCATCTTTCTCAACGTTTTACACTCTGGCTGTGAGTCCTCAGTGAGGTGCAGGCGCAATTCAAGGACCAGACTATGAGGGAAAATGATGTTTTGAGTGGCGTGCCAACCACTCTAACGCCCCCTCGGTGGGCCCCCTCCGTCGTTGGGGAGACAGAGTTTGACAAGGCCGACTGAGAACCAACGTCTGGACGTCGCCAGAGCCGTTTCAGGCCGCCCTGAACAGACGCTCCGGCTGCGCGCACAGATGTTAGAAAGGCAGCCGGTAGCTTTTGGAGTCTAAGGTGAATGAGAAAGCGGTTTTCAAACTATTGCTCATCTCTAAATATTCAGACTCCACTGTAAGGCTCTGAGGTGTTTATTTTAGAGAAAGTCAATGTCTGTTTACTAATACCATTCTAACAGTCACGTGTTCAACTGTATTATGACACTATTCATAAAAATAGCAAATGCTAATGAGAGACAAACTAAACCTGTAACATATATTCAAAAGTCATTTCTCTGCTTAATAGGAATAAACGTTGGAGAATTTATCAAAACTACTGTTGTTTTACTCAAAAGATGTCCAGATGAAAAATGTTTACATCTTAGCCGTATTTCTGCCTGCATTCCCCGCAAATTTTATTGCCGATCTTCCGTGCCCAGTGAATGGGGAGAAGCTTGTTTGTATACTCACCGAAGATGACCTTCAGGTTCCGATCTAGGTGTTATTTACAAAGACAACGAACGCGGAATGAAAACGCTGGGTGAGTCATAATTTCAAGACCCAGACTCCCCGGAAACAGAACACAGAGGTGAAATGCGTTTCGACTCCATGGAGACAGAGCCGCCAGGGCCACCAAGCACCGGCCCCGCAGACGGACGCCTCCTGGCAGCGCCCAGGGGGCCAGCCCGGAGCAGGTGCGGTTGTCCGGGCACAACAGAGACCCCCAAGAGCACACGCCGGCTGTTGGTGAACGCCAGCGTCAGCCCTTCTGCTGGGGTGGCCAAAAAATTCATTCAGTGGCTCTTGCAGCACTTAGTTTTCTTTAACGGTATTTGAAATAATTCTGTTAGATTGTATCGTGACAGCTGTCATCTCAGCAGGCGTTTAAAAAAAGACTGACCAGAACTGGTAAATTTTTGTGCAGCCGATATGATCGTGAAGGTGGAAGAAAATATGCAATATGTTTAGTTTTACGCTTTATCATTTCAAGAAAGGTAAAAACACAACTGAAACGCAAAAAGAAAGGTCTGTGCAGGGTGTGGAGAAGGGGCTGTGACTCATGGCACGTGTCAGAAGGGGTCTGCAGTTTCTTGGTCCTGTTGACATTTGGGCCCCATAATTCTCTGCTGTGGGACGGCCTCACGCGTTGGAAGACGGTTAGGAGCGCCCGGCCTCTCCCCATCGGAAGCCAACAGCAGGAGACAGCCGACACGCTCAAAATGCCCAAATCACGAAGTTATTGGCGAGCACGAAGGGTCACGTCAAGGAACATGAAGGACCCACGGACAAAGACAATGGCAGGGAGGATTAACTGTGGGAGGCAGGGTGGGTAGAGCAGGGAAAAGTAACAGGGGGAAAATGGGGACAACCACAATTGGACAATTTTTTAAAATGTTTTAATGTGTCTTTTATTTTATGGAAATAACATAATGGAATTTTTGGCCAACCCAGTACTTCCTTCCAAACACCCTTCTCCAAACCCCACCGCCTCAGAGTGGGGCCCGGGGTCGCGCCCCGGCGGGCCTGCTCCCCACTTCCTCTCCCATGGTCCTCTCCCCTGACCCCCACCCGGCCCCCGAGCACCCACGAAAGACACGCTTCCAACACTGGTGCCAGGGGAGCCACCGAGGCCAAGGCCCTGCGGGGCCCCGGGAGCAAGGGCTTTGTGCCCTTCCCGCGGTCAAACATGCTTCTAGTCCGGGCGAAGCTTGACGTTCACACAGAAGGCAGTTTGACAGGTGCTGGCTGGGATGTGGGGCTTTCAGTTGCATAGGGGACGGGGTGGAAGTGACGGCCACTTTAGTCAAACCGCCTGGCTCCTTCCACCCCTGAAAATCGTTGACTGTTTCGGTCCTGAGAGCGAGCCCCGTGGGAGCAGAGCGGAGAGGATGTAGCAGTGCCGGCCCGGCCGCTGGTGCGCCCTCCACGCAGGCGGCCATGGGGCTCGGCCCTGAGCGCACGCAGCGTCCCCACCGGACCTGAGGGGCGACGAGGAGGCTGCAGGCTGCATATAAATACGTTGATTTGATTTGGAAAGTGAAGTCCTGCTTTTCCTGACAGCAAGCAAATCCGATGTGGGCGACCTATCTGACAGGGAGGACTGGTTTTGCCAATTAGGCCGGATGCATGGTCTCTAAACTAAATGAGCTACACCTGTTTACGTTATAGTTCGAGCATATGCTGAAATAATTTTATTTAAAAAAGAAACAAATCTCCTAGAGTTTGTGGGTGTGAAAGGGACCCCGTGGCGGGCCGGGGCAGCCCGCTGGCTGAGCGGGAGGAAGAGAAACAGGTGGGGAGCAGAGACGGGGCGGGGGGGGGGGGCAGTGCGCAACCCCAGCCCCAGGACGCCGGGGGGAGGCGGCGCTCGAATGCATTGAGGAGTCACACGACTTGACTGTCCCCGTGGACTGGACACTTCAGTAACAAAACCAACTCTGCTCTTGTGGCTGGGACATCAGCGACCGGAGGATCCTATCGCCCGAGTGACCAGAGCGGTCACGGGGCTGCTCCCCAACAGCGCGTTCCCGGGGGCGAGCGAGGGACGGAGCGACAGCGCCCTCTGCGCCCATGGAGCCCGCGGAGCCCAGCCTATTCCGCGGAAGACGGACGTTCCAAACCGAGCCACGTTCTCCTGCGCCGCGGCGCGCAGGGACACACAGACAGACAGACATGGGACCGCTCTCCTACACCACATACAAAAATTACCTCGAAATGGGTTAAAGAATTAAAGGAAAGGCCCTGTAAGTATAAAACTCCTACAAGAAAACATGGGAAGTACGCTGTCTGACATCAGCCTGAGTAATATCTTTGTGCACACATCCCTTCAAGCAAGGGAAACAAATTTTTTTAAAAAATCAAATGGAGCTACATCAGACTAAAAAGCTTTTGCGCAGCGAAGGAAGCCATCAACAGTATGAAAGGACAACCTACCGACTGGGAGAATGTAGTGGCAAATGACACAGCCAATAAGGAGTTGAGATCAAAATAGAAAAGGAATTGATACAACTCAGTAACAAAAAAAATTAACAATCTGATCAAAAAATGGGCAGAGGAAACGAAAAGACATTTCTCCCAAGAAGGCACACAGGCGGCCAACAGACAAATGAAAAGATGCCTAACATCACTACTCGTCAGAGAAATGCAAATCAAAACCACAAAGAGGTACCACCTCACACCAGTCAGAACGGCCACCATCAATGAATCAACGAACAACGCGCTGGCGAGGACGCGGAGAGAGGGAGCCCGCGCGCCCTGCTGGCGGGGACGCAGGCCGGGGCAGGGCCTGTGGGAAGCGCTGGGGAGGGTCCTCCAGATACTACACATAGAACTACCACAGGACCCAGCGATTTCACTTCCGGCTGTTTCCTCGAAGAAAAGGGCACTAATCTGAAAGGCATACGTGCACCCCTACATCCACTGCAGCATTATTCACAGTCGCCAAGGTACGGGAGCCACCAAGGTGTCCCTCGGCAGGTCAGTGGGCAAAGAAGATGTGGGGTGCACGTGCCACGGAATATTACACAGCAGTAAAAAAGAGTGAAACCTTGCCATCTGCAACAACATGGATGGATTTAGAGGGCATTTTGCTGAGTGAAGTAACACTAGGCAAAGAAAGACAAGTACCGCATGGTTTCACTTGCCTTTGCAACCAAAAAACAAAACAAAACCCAAACAAACAAAACAGAAACAGACTCATAGATACAGAGACCATAGGCATGGTTACCAGCAGGGAGGGGTGGGGGGAAGGGCAGAAACGGTGAAGGGGAATGGAGTCAACAACGTTGCGGTAAGTTCGCAGATGACAGGCGGCACCTAGAACTAGTGGGGTGACTGCGTTGTAAGGACTCAGTACTGTACCCCTGAACCTGGACTACCCAGTCTTAGACTGTATACCAACTATATTTTTAAAAATAAAAATAAATAAATAACGTCGCATTCTAAGTTGCCCCAGCCGAGGGCGCACAGGCTAGCCTCGCCGAAGGACCTTGCGTGCCTCGGTTGATTTCCAAAGGCACAAAGGATACACAATTTTAAAAATTTTTATGTGATTTAAAAATGAAAAAAATTGGGGAGCGACCACTGGCCTCTCACAACGTAACTCGACACTGCAGGACACCCGGAAAGCCGTGTTCAGCTGCCAGGAAGACGCAGAAGGTGCTGCCGGTGAAGTGCTTTACAGTCTCACCGACACAAGATCAAGGAAGAGCTAGATAAAACCGCCGGGGGGGCGGGGGGAAACAACCTGAAAACACATTGTGCAGGTCCCCCAGAAGCTCTCCACCGAATGACTGGGAACACCCACGGCGGCGGCGGAGCTCTCGCATGAAAGACACCGGCTGCAACCGAGCGGGCGGGCAGCATTTCCCACTGTCCAATGGTCAGTCCCTGCCCCGAACCTACCTCGAGCCGTTGCACGTGCCACAGGGGGGCTCCAACGATGACCGCCACCAGCCAGACCGCACCTGTGAAAACGTCCCCGTCCTCAGAGTGCGGCCCGCCTCGGCGAGATACAGGTGCTTCATGCCCTAGACTGCTCTACCTGGCGCCCCCACCCCCACCCGGGAGGCGGGAGGGGGTCTCCTCCCACGTGCTCACCTCCACCGGCTCACTGCCCTCCACACCGCTGCCCGAAGAGTCTTCCGGAAAAAAACCCCGCATTTTAAGTGGTTAAACGTCTTTCCTAGCGTCCCACTGGCTCTAAGGGAAACCCAGCTCCCCGGCATGGCCCCCAGGGCTCTCCGCGGCCCCGCTGGCCCCTCTCGTCTCTCATGTCGGGCGGCCCTGCCCACCCGAGCCCTCCACTGAGACTCGGCGGGCTGGGTCTCCGCCCCACACCCCGGCAGGCAGGCGCTGTGCTGCCCCATGCGCGCCCGCTGCCACCCGGGCCGGCACCGAAGCACCCCCCCACCCTCTCTATCTGGGGGCTCATGTTCCAGCACTTGGCTCGAGTCCCCTTCTCCAGGAAAGCGCTGAAGGCCGCCGCCCCTGCCAGGTAGACTGACCACCTGGGATTCCCCGGGACGCTCCTGAATGAATGAAAATCCGAAACAGGATCTAGATCGCCCTCTAAAATTTCTGCTTAGAATTGAAAGGACCTTCACCTCAACCATCATAAGAGGGCCATTCTTTTCTTATTTACATAACAAACCGGGCGTCAGAAGCCAGAGAGCTGTGGAGAGGACCGCTTTACAGATGGGCCCTTACAAGGAGCAGCAGACAAACTTAACAGCCTGAGGAGCCCAGAGCCAAGGGCCCCCGACCTCGGCTTCGAGGGAAGATTCCCCGCGGGAGCTCCCCAGGCTGCAGGGCCCCTGGGAACACTGCATGTTGTCTTAGGGTTCAAGGACTGAGGCTCCCTTAGGCCTTGCGGGTGTTTACTCAAAAGACACACAGGAACCAGCAGGGTTCCAGACAGGCCTGAGGCTCACACCCCTCCCCCCCCAACATGGCCCCGCCCATCTGTCCTAGTCCCCTCCTCATCTTATCATGTCACCGGGTATCCAACCATTTTTCTACTCTTCAGTGGAATTTTGGGAGGACTTGATTCTTTTTTTTTTTTTTAAGATTTTATTTGTTTATTTTTAGAGAGAGGGGAAGGGAGGGAGAAAGAGAGGAAGAGGAACATCAATGTGTGGTTGCCTTGCATGCGCCTCCCACGGAGGACCTGGCCTGCAACCCAGGCCTGTGTCTGGACTGGGAACCGAACGGGTGACCCTGCGGTTCACCGGCCGGTGCTCAATCCGCTGAGCCACACTGGCCAGGGCGGGACCTGAGTCTCATTGGCTTGGTTCGATGCCAGTCCTCCTGGGCCACGCCTGCTTGGGGACGGAGACCTAAGCCCAGGCGCACACAGTCCCACTGGCAGGGGGCGCCGGGCGTGTCCGACCGGCTGCTTCACTGTGTCCCAGAGCTGGACGGGACATCAAGCGGCCCTGCCCAGAAGCCCCCTGGAGGAGGAGCTACTTGACTTAAAAACCTTTCTGTCCTGTGACTTTTCTGAGTAAAACCGCCAGGTCTACCTCTCACCAGCTTTGCTTTCTGACGTGGAGGCTCCCTCTCCTCCTCTTCCCTTTTGAAATAACCCCCTTCCACCAGGCACGTCCTCTCTCCTCACCCTCCCTGCACCCACCCGCTGCATCTAAATGTTCTGAGGGTGGAAGCGTATCAATAATTAAAAGCCAAGAAGTCTTCGAATGCTTTGTAGGAAGGAGGCAACATAAAACTACTGAAAACGAAGCACTTTCCCCATTGGTTTGTCTATTCATTTCAAACTACTTAAAACGAGCGTGGCACTGCAGAGCCTTCGGGAGCTCTTTCTGTCCTGTCTCCCCACGCTGGCTAAGTCCCCACAGCGGCCGGAGGGGCCTGCTCGCTGCTCTCCAGCGAGATGTTAGGAGAGAGTGTTCTCCTCGCTGATTGCGCGCATCGCTCCCTGAGGCTCCGATTACCTGGCCGGCACACACTCAGACGGCCGAGGGGCCCATTACGGCTTACAAACAGCTCAGTGGTAATTCTCGAGCAGGCTTCCTCCGCAGGGCCGCACTCGGCTCTCAGGCGTGTGGCGTGTGTCACGAGGCCCCTGCACCGGCCTGCCTGGCTCAGGGACGCCACGAGCACGGGGAAGTGCTGGGATGCATCTTTGTCGGGCATCGCTCGCACCCAGCACCCCGTGTTCCCATGCGCCCGTGGCCTTCCAGGCAGGGCCCCTGTTCTCTGCTTTTCTGAAAGCCCCTTTCCTGGCTCCTGTGAAAATCCCCTGCTGTAACAAAGGCATCTCCACGGCCTCCAAGGTCAGGACAGCAGTTCCCTGTTCTAATGGATGTTGCTAAAGCCTCTGAGGGGCTGGCCGCGGTCCCCGGGAGCCAGGCTTCTAAGGTGGAGGCTTAAACCAAAGGACATCGGAAATGAGAGATGGGGTTGCTGGGGGTGCCCAGGGAGAGATGGGGTGGGGGTGGGGGTGGGGTGGGCGGGAGGACCGAAGCCCTCTCGCTGCACCCCCCCACCGCACCCACGGCGGGGGGAGGAGCTGCCCCGACACCCGGTTCGCATGGCGCGGCCGCCGCGCAGGCCCTCACCCAGCATGGCGGCAGCCCTCCGGCGGGTGTAGCGCCACTTCATCCTGAAAGGGTGCACGAGCCCGTGGTGCCTCTCCACGGCGATGCAAGTCATGGTCAGGGTCTCGGTGACGACAGCGGTGCACTGCACGAAGGGCACCATCTTGCAGACGAAGGCACCTGCAGCGGCAAAGAGGTCAGACGCCGAAAGGAAGGAGGGCTCTGTCTGCCCCTTGGCGACAATCGCGGTTCCCTCACGCCTGCCATCACACAAAGGATGCAAAGGATGGAGGCAGCTCGCACTGGCTGACAGCTCCCTCCCCCTGATGGATGCTGGGTTCCTAAACTGTATGTAACTACAGGCAAAGGGGCGGTCACAGGGCACGTGAGTCTCCGGCCTTTGAACACAGGCAGGAAAAAACCCATGCGAACTCTGCTTGGCCCGCCGGCCGCCTGGGCTCCACCGACACAGTAGCCTCCGGTTCCTCCCCTGGTCCCCGGTCAGATTGTAACAAAGGAGCGGTTTGCCCGCGTTTCCTCTTTTACCCTTCATTCTCCTCTCGCTTCCCGTCCGGGACCTTCCATCTGGGTCAGGTCGTCGTCACTGTCCCCCTCCCCGAATCCGCCTTCTCTAAGGCCAAGGTCTCACACCGGCGGCCCCGGGCAAGAAGTGGCCTGCAGACACGGCTGATGGAACAGTTTTTTAAATAGTTGAGTTCACTGGCAGCACCCCGCCCGTCTGGCGTCGTCACCATCTGTGTCCGCGGGCCCTGGCCTCACGTCTCTGCTCTCGGGTCCGCTGTGCTCATTGTTTCCAAATGAATTATCCTGAGCTGTCGGCGTGATCGCCAGCTCAGGGACACGGATGCTGGCAGAGACCACGGAGGTCACGCGGTCCAAGCTGCCACCAGGCAGAAGTCCGCTCTTCCCCTTCTCTTGCACGCGCCCTGCCCGGCCCTGCAGATGCTGCACTGAAGCCTTTGCTCAGACGTCACCTCCTCGGTCAGGCCGACCTGCCGGACACCCCTCTGGGCGACGGCAGCCTGTCCCCTCCCCCCATTCCTCCTCTCTCTTAGTCTCCCCATCTCCCCCATTCTTCCACCTGCCAGCGCCCTGTCTCATTTACTGGTGCGTCTACTGTCTTGTTCCCAGACACTCTCCCCACGCCCACGCCACCGCCGCACTCCCAGAGCCAGGACGTTTCTGCTCAGCCTCCACAGGAGGCCCAGCGGCTCGCTGCCACGCTCGCTCAGCAAACGCGCTTCACTGAAGACGAGCAGGGGGCTGGGAGGCTCTTAGCCCCTCCGGGAGCCTCCCCTCCTCTTTGGAGAGGATTTCAGGACTCAGCAGCTGCCTCCTCTGAACAGTGACTCTTCCCAGAGTTGAAGGGAGCCTTCACGTCCCTGCCGAGACCCCCCAGTCGCCCCGGCTGCTCCTCCATGGTCCAGACGGAACCCCTGTCCCCATGCTCAGCGTGTGGTCTGGCTGAGGCAGGACCTATAGGACCACCCTGTCTCCCTGGGCCTGAACACCCGTTTCTGGGATTCTACCAGAAAATTAAGGCGCTCTTGTGCTAGAGCTTTCAAATGCTCGGTTTCCGTTGAACTTGAAATCAACTTGAAATGAACTGGGTCTATCTAGTAGATAACTTCCCTTAATCCACGATTCCTGCGACTGAAGGGAAAATGCATTTAGATATTGCTCTCCTAGCTCTTGCTTCTGGTCCGTCTTGGAAGCTCCAAAAGGCGACCCAAGAGCCAGTCGCGCCCCTCCCCCCACCGCCATGGTGGGTTCCAGCTCCCCAAATACCAACCCTGTTCAGAGTTCAGTCCCCTTCTTGTCTGGCCAAATACTTTAGATGCTAAGTACAGGAGTTGACTTTCCACTCTAATATACTCCGCTGTTTGACTATCGCAAATGAATTAGCTTCAAATCCTATTTGGGATGCAGTATTTGCATCAATGAACATGTGAATAAATTTTCTACCTGGATATTTCTCCTTTTTTTGAAATTTTGATCAGAATTTCTTCTATTCTTTCAACCAAATTGTTTATTAAAAGAAAAATAAAAGCTGGACAGGTCAAGCCCTGGCCAGGTGGCTCCGTTGGATGGAGCATTGTCCTGTGCACCAAAAAGCTGGACAGGTCAAGGTTAAATAAACACCAGAAGACACTTTCCGTGGAATGGGCATGGCTCCATTATCAACACATTTCAGGCGTGAGTGTCCGAACAAGTAGGTGTTACTATCGCGGTGCTCCCTCACTGTGGTGCTACCCGCCTCCCCCCCGATAGCACAGGACATTGGTCACCAGATTTCCGGGTGCCAGGGCACACGGTGGCCCTGACTCATCCGACCTCTGTGTCAGGGGCTCTGAACCTCAATGTCATCATTTGTGAAAAGGGATGAGTAATGCCCACTTGTCATGCGAGGGCTTCATACCATGACGTTAAGCCCCCAGTGTGTTCAATAAAAGGCGGCTTCTTCTAAAAATCATGAGGCAGCTGGATCCAAAGGGCTGGGGTAAATTCGGCACCTTTGAAGTGGATGGATTGATTGGGGCCCTGTGGCCCCCTGCAGGGCACTGCATGCTATACCTGTGTCCCCAGCAAAGATTCTGCAGCCCCAAGGGGCCCAGGGACTTGCTGAGGTCCGACAGCTGTGTGTGGACAAAAGGAGGACATGGGCCCAGGCCCCCGACCCCAGCTCTTCCTGTTACGTCAGCCCCGCCTGCCTCAATGCCCCCGTGCCCCGGGGCCGCTCTCTGACCCACGTGCTCACCATCCAGCCGCTGAGGAGCGCACTTACGAGTTCTGCACCCCGCGCAGCTCTATAGCCTGTCGCCTTATCCTCTGGGTGAATCAGACAGCGTTTGCCCAGCTCGCTACTCCTGACCAGTTTTCTAAGACACCACCAACCGAGTCTCCAAGTTCCCTCCAAGTCCCGGCATGTAATTAATTCACCTACGCTGAAGATTTCAGCAAATCTACGCTGAAGATTTGAGTTCCTTTCAAAGTAGACAGATGCTCTTTTGCTGCTTACGAATTTATCGTGATCTTTATTTCCATTCTAAACTTCTTTGCTTTGCCCTTTTTAATTCGGAGATCATTTTTCAAGGTCTAGAAATGTGATGCAAAATAGGCAGGGAGGGCTGTCTCTGCCCTTTATTAAATGTCTACCGTTTTTAGCTCTTATCGCTGGTCACCCCCCAGCCGGCTCCTTCTGTGCTGCGGCACGCAGCACGCTCCCAGGGTGGCCTGTACAGGTCCAAGCCATTCTGCAAGAATATGTCCTTTGTGACATTTTTTTCCCACAAAGGGCCATTTTAAACTGGGGTAACCCTAGCGTTCTGTGGGTAGGGCGCCGTTTTCTGGGACCGCCCTTCCCTTTCTTCCCTCTGGGGTCACCTGGTTTTGAACCAGAGCCGTGCCTCTCAGAGCCTGGCCGGGAGGCCTGGCACTTGTGTTCCGACGGCCAAAGCTCACGCCAGCTCTGCTGTTCTCTTCCAAGTGCACCCTTTGGTTACTTTATAAGAAGAACCTCTGGCTGTACGTTTGTGCCAGAAAAGAAGAGTGAAAATTATTCTTTTCTGCTGTTTCTTCGACTTTCCATTATCCTAATAGTTAGAACACTGTTTTAGAAAAATAATTGAATTGCTTTTTATTCTCCACTAATGGCAATAGACTTTAAAAAACAGAATGAAATGAGCCCAGGTTAAACATTTGGGCAAGAAAGGAGAAAGCAATGTGGTTTCAGTACATTTAAAGTGTTAAAATAAGTCACTGTCAAGTAATAAAGAAGGGATTTTTTTTTTCTGTATACTAGGGAAGAAACGTAGAAGATCAGGTTAGATATTAGGAAAAAATTCTTGAATATGAAGGTTATTGAGCAAAAAAAAAAAATGCATTATCAAGTGTCCTTCCCCAGAAATAAAAAAATTTGTGGGATAGTTATGTAATTTTTGCACTCAGTTGTTTACCAAATCTCTAATAACCTAAAATTAGTATAAAGGAATGTCAAAAATAGCAAAATGGCCAAGCACATTAACTGTAAAATGCCACTGTGCTCAGCAGAGAGGATCTATTACATAAATTCTGCTGCGGCCGCCTCTCAAGAACACGCCCTAGTCCTCTGGGCCCACGGCGCCTTTTGTTCTCCGAGTGCCTACATAATCAACGCCGGGGAGACCGCCCACAGGCTAGCCCCATGGGACGCTTCGTAATTTTACTTCCAAACCGCTGTTGCTGATGAGCTGCCCTCTCCCAAGTTCTTTGGTTCTTTTAGACATCTCTGCTTCCAGGAGACCGTTCTCCGCCATAGCTTCCCTCATTCCCACTCACAGATTTCTGAAAAGCCCCATAATCCTGTTGATTTCTACATTAGTTTCACTATATTTAAATGTTCCAGGAACCCTAAGGTTTCTGAAATGGTACAGAAAAGGGAAAATCATTGTAACGAGTGGAACTGTCTACCCGCTAATCAATAAAACAGACCCCAAGAGGCCCCAGTCTAACCCTTCTGCTCTGCAGTCTCTGGGTTCCCAGTAGACGCCCCACTTTGCTCAGCAAGGTTGTCCTTTAAACACGGAGCTTAATCACCCCGCGGGACAGCTGCGCTTCCTAACCCTGCCTTCGCAAACACGGAGGCTGCACACAAACTTTATGGAGTCAACCGCACTGGGCAACTTGAAAATCCTCCAGTACAACGATTTCATTGCGCACCTCAGACAGTCTCTCATCCAGAAATCCAGTCACAGCTCTCCACGTCGTCTGCCATTTTCAAGGCCATGTTACCAACACGAGTGTTTTCAGCATTTGGGGGAGTGTTTCATCATTGATGAGATGGGGATCAAAGATTTAGCATCCCGACCCGTCAGCCACAAACCTGGGGCAAATCCCTGGGAAAAGCAGGGCCAGGAAGGGACAGCGAAGGCCTCCGGTCGCGGCGGTGGGCTGGAGGGGTCGCCCTCGGGGGGTGGGATGAGCCCCAACGAGCGAAGGGCTGGCAGGGGCAGGGCCTGGGGGCGCGGACCCACTTCTCTCACACTCTCCCCCGTCTCCAGCCACCTTGTCAGGATTTCGTGTGGCCGCAGGAAGGCCCCCACCCCGCAGTGCGGGCGCAGCCAACCGCTCCCCTCCAGGCTCAGCACAGGCCCCGCGGGCGCGGCAGCGGCGGGACCGGGCGCCAGCGGCCTCTGGAAGGACTGGCCCCTTCGGGAAGCCGGGCCCGTGTCTCCGCACCCTCCCCGCATTGCAGGGCTCTGATCCCAGCGCCTTCCCCTCCCCCAGCGGCTCCCGGCCTCCGTCGGCAGGGCCCAGCTTCGGGGTCCTTCCTCCTGCCTCGCCCTGCTAAACCACCTTCCCCTTTTAATGACAAGTCCAATACAGTCTTCTCTGCAAATGTATCGTATTTGACTTTTAAAAAGTTTTAAGTCCGGACGTGGGCTTGGGCAGCAAATGGGCGTCCGCAAGCGACTCAGGCACCTGCGGGAGCAAGCCCGGAGGTCGGGAATGTGGGGATATTTTTATCTTTTATCAAAAATAAGAACAAATCTTAGTAACTGTGAAAAGGGCGCTGAACTGCCAGCAGAGCGACACCCTCCTCACCTCTCCGCCCTGGATCTTTCGCACGTGCCCCCCACCCGCGTCTCTAAGCGACCTGGAAAAGAAGAGCCGACACAATCACCTGCGGCAGAAACTTCTGTGCAGGTGACGCGTGAGGAAGTTCTGAGACAGGCCGACTCCTTGGCTAGACAGAAAGGTCAGGAGGTCAGAGCAGCTGAGTGCGCGTGGGAGCGGGGGTCCCCCGGACGGCAGGACCTGGGGACAGCGGACTCACCCCCCAGCCAGGTGTCCGAGACGTTCTGCAGCATGGTGACCGGGATGCAGAAGAAGGCGATGAGCAGGTCGCTGAGCGCCAGGGAGCAGATGAAGATGTTGGTGGCGGTGCGCATGGCCTTGCGGCGGGCCACCACGTAGACCACCAGCGCGTTGCCGAAGAGCGCCAGCGCGAAGAGCAGCCCGCCGGTCAGCGCCAAGGCCAGCTTGGCGCGCGCCGGCAGCTCCGGGGCGGACACCAGCGGCCGCAGCCCGTACTGCGCGATGAAGCGCTCGCGGGTCAGGTTGTGGTCGCGCAGCAGCCGGGAGAAGAGCTCAGGGGTGATGTTGAGCGACTGCATCGCGCCGCGCGGGTCCGGGGCTGGGCAGCGCGGGCTCCACCGGCGCCGGGCAGGTGCGGAGGAAGAAGGGCCGCCCGCGGAAGTGCGGCCGCTCCGCGCTCCTCCCGCGCCGGGAGGGCGCCGCCCCCAGCTCCGGACTCCGCGCGCGCCCCGCTCAGCTCCGCGGCCCAGCCCCGCACTGTCCGGCGGCGACGGTGGGGCCGCCCCTCGCCGCGGGCCGCCGCCTCGCACCCCGGGAGGGAGGCAGTCCCTCCGGCCGGGCCGCTGCGCCCCCCGCGGTCCCCAGTCCTGGGTTGGGTGGAGCTGAGTGCCGGCGTTTTCCACCCTCTCTTGGTTTCTCCTCTTAGGAAGTAACGCGGGCCACATCTGTTCTCGTTATTTAAAAAATACTTACAACACGGAAAGGCCCCAAGTGTCCCTCGCCTAGTTTCTCCCATCGATTCCACCGCCTTTGGCTCCGCTGCAGGACAAGCCCTGGAACTTTGACACAGGTCTGTGCGCGTGCGTGAGGTTTCATCCCGGGTGAAGATTCCCGGCATCACCCCCCAAATCAGGGCGGAATCTCTTCTGTCACCAGGAAGCCCCTCCCTCTGCCCCTGCCCCTTCCCAGCCACTCGCCTGTGCTCCGGTTCCAGTTACGGCCGGTTGCGTACCCGTTACCGCACGGTGGCTGACCTTTACGTCCGTACTTTTCTTTTCCCTCACTCAGTACACTGCCCTTCAGACCCATCCAAGCAGTTAGGTCCAAGCACAGCTGTTACCATCGTCACTGCTATTCGCTGGGGAGGAACCGCGGCGTCCTCCGCCATTCCCCGAGAGCGGGGCGCGCTGCGTGTTTCCAGTTCGCACCGGCTGTGAAGAAGACTGACCGGGATTTCGAGTAGAAGACATACGTTTCCATTTCTCTGGGAACTGCCAAGAAGTTTGGTTGTTCAGTCTGTGGTTTGTGTATTTAGGTTTTTAAGAAATTACCAAATTACTTTCCAGAGCAGCGGCACCATTTTGCATTTCCACCGGCGATGTAGGAGATTGTTTCTGCACATCCTTGCCAGCATTTGATGTTGTCATTCTTTTTTTTTTTTTAATTTTAGCTGTTGTAAGTGTGTAGTGATCTCTCACAGCACCCTAGCTTCCGTGTGCCCACTGGCAATGCCGTTGAACGCCCTCCTGTGTGCTCGCCTGGCATTCCCGGCATCTTGAGTCTATTTTGTCCATATTCTACTTGAATTGTTTGGTTTATTTGCTGCTGCGTTTTGAGGGTTCCTGTTATATGCTAGATACTAATCCATCAAATAAATGGTTTGCACATATTTTCTTGTGTCTTACCTTTTTATCCTCTTAACAGGGTCTCACAGATCAACGTTTTAATTTCGATGAAGTCCTATTTAACAACTTTTCCCTTTATTGATTATACTTTTGATGTCCGGTGTAACCTTCCCAAGTCCCAAGGCCCCCACCTTTGCTCCTGTGTCTCCTTCTAAAAGTGCTGCAGTTGGACATTTGACCGTTTGCGCTCTCTGTGCTGCCCCGCTGACCGGTGTGTCTGTCCTCCAACCCACGCCATCTCGAACACCGCAGCTGAAATCAGCTGGCGAGCTTTCTCCCACACGATGCTTCTCTTTCAAAAGCAGACATTCTCGGGCCTGTGCCCTCAGTACGAATTTTACAATAAATGTGTCCATGTCTACAAATAGTCTTGCTGGGATTGTCATAAGAACGGATGTCTTCGCTGTGCTGAGCCTTCCAATCTGTGAATATAATTAGATCTTCTTTGAATTCTCTCATCGGCGTTTTATAGTTTTCAGCAGGCGAGTCCTATTTTTTTTTTAGATTTGCCCTTAAGTGGCTCTTTTTATTTATTCTTTTTATTTTTATTTTTTTAGCATTTGTGCATGGTATTGTATTTCTAGTGTTGAGGTCCATGTGTTCATTGCCTGTATGTAGAATGTGATTTATTTTGTACGTTGATCGTTAAACCTACAATGTGGCTGAATTCACTTACTAGTTTTAGGAGAAGTTTGGGGGAGTGTGGGGGGTAGATTTCTTGGGAGTTTCCTCTATAGACAAGCCTATCATTGGAGAAGACGGCAGCTTCCCACACCCTCAGGGGCGCCCCCTGGTGGTCCGGGCCCCTGGCGGGGGCGGGGGGGGCGGGGGGCGGGGCCTGGGTACAGCTCGGCCTCCTGGCAGCTCACTGTCAGGGGCTGCAAACCATCGCCTGGCCAGGGACGGCCCATCACTTGTTTCTGAGAGCCCATGAGCAAAGAATGGGTTTTACATTGTCAAATGGTTGGAAAATAGCCCTGGCTGGTGTGGCTCAGTGGATTGAGCACCAGCCTGCGAACCAAATGGTCGCGGGTTGTATTCCCGATGTGGGGCACAGGCCTGGGCTGCGGGCCAGGTCCCCAGTGAGGGGTGAGTGAGAGGCAACTACACGTTGATGATTCTCTCCCTCTCTTTTTCCCTCCCTTTCCCTCTGTCTAAAAATAAATAAATAATATTTTTAAAAAATGATTGAAAAATAATTCTAAAAAGACTGTATTTCATGACATATAACAATTGTATGAAATTCAAATTTTCGGGTCTATAAAAATGAAAAGTTTGACAGGCGCACGCCACGCCCATTTGTCTCCATTGTGTCTACAGCTGCTTCCTGCTGCAGCGAAGAGTCTCGTCTCTGCGACAGGGACTGGGTGGCCCTTTGCAGGAAAAGCTTGCCAACCCCTGATCTTGTCAGAGAGGCAGGTGGACACCAGTGTCCATCGCCAAAGCCAGGCGGCACGGGCCACATCCATACGCAGGAAGGCAAGTCCTCGACACGCAAGCCTAGCCAGGCCCACAAGGGCTGCACCGAGACAGCAGGGTGGACCGGGCTCAGACGGAAGGGCGCGGATGAGAGAAAGGCCGCTTCCTCCACACAGAGGCGGAAACGACTTTGCTGGACGTTGGGACTGCAGGATCGGCACTGATACTGTTGCCCGTACTCATGACTAGAGGCGTTCGGGGAAGAGGGTCCCTTGTCCAAAGGAAGCAGGCTGACCGAGTGAAGGCGAGCACTGAGGAGTGCCCGCCCCAGGGGGCAGGAACGTGGGAGAACGGAGCTGCGTAAACGTTAGCCAAGAGCAAGCAGTGCTTATACGGGGCGCTCTCGGGTTCCCCCCGAGTGTGCAGGAATCGCATCCTCTTGGCAAAAATTACAAAACTGTCAGAGGTGGGGGCTTAGCTGGACATTGACGGAAGGAAAAACAGTATGTGGTCAATGTTTTCTTTACTTGGCTGAGAATTTTGTCACTCAGGAGGAAGGAGGAAGGATCTGGCAGGACTGGAGTCCTGTGTTTAATTCTGACCAGCGTGGAAAGAGCTGGCGGCAAGGTGGGAGTCACGGAGAGTTTGAGAAGATTTTCGTTGTCTGCTCTGAGTGCGAGGTGAGGTCGGGGGGCGCTACCTTCCATCAGATGGGGGCTCTTGGCTTCCAGAAAGCAAGCGAACGAGGCTTATACGGCTCCTCTGACCTCTTGGCCTGAGTTTCTGAAACAGAAACTGACTAAGGAGGGTTGAGAGGCTCTCGAATTTAAATTTCTCAAAACACAGTCGCAGAATGTCATAAGGAGGACAAGACAAAGCAGGCACTGAGGACAACAGGGAGCATGGAGTCCTCACGCTTCCCCGTTCACAGCGGCACTGTCCACAGTGGCCGGGAGGTGGGAACAACTCACACGTCCATCGGGGGATGCGCAGACCCGCAAAACGTGCTCAGGACAGACTGTGGACTGCTGCTCAGCCTCGCGGAGGAAGGCAGCGCTGACACAGGCCGCGGCGTAGGTGAGCCCCGAGGGACATCATGCTCGGCGAAATCAACCAGTCGGAGAAAGACAAGTGCAGCGGGGCTCCCGCGCCTGAGGCTCCTCGAGTCGTGGGGTTCACAGGGACGGGAAGTAGAAAGCGGTTGCCAGGGGCTGCAGGGAGCAGGGCGAGGGGAGTTGCTATTTGACCGGTGTGGAGTTTCAGGTTTGCAAGATGAAGAGTTCTGCACAACCACAGGAATGTAGTTACTGCCGAACTGTGCCCTGAAAAATGGCTAAGAAGGTAAGATTTCTGTGACGTTATATTTTAGCACAACTTTTTTTAAAAAAGGAAAAGACTGCGATAATAGTATCTGGGAAGCATGCTTTATAGGTGTTATTTTATTTCATTTTCACATGGACTATCTTGGCAGGTGCTTTCATTGTCCTTTTTATACAAAGGAAAAAGGGAGACAGAATATGATGAAACTCGCTCAGGGTTACACAGCTAAAAACTGTGAGCTTGTTTCTCAAAATTCCAGGAAGGCAGACTCTTATGCCCACGCTGGTTTTTGTTACAAAGCAAAGAGGTATAAACCTATGGAACAAAACGTCGGGGTGGGGAGCGGGGGGCAGGGAGGCGCGCAGTGGGTGGAATTGTGGAGGCCTGAGGCTGACAACACAGGAAGCCGGGCGGGCGCCCAGACCTGCAAAGCTGGGCTGCAGGGAGCCACAGGGAGCCCCGGGCTTCCTGACAACTAGGGAACTGGGGCCCAAGGGGCAGTCTCAAGGAGCATGGCTGGCCGCACGACCTGGAAAAGAAAGGCAGCAGATGACCTGTCCGAGGAGGGAGGCCTCGAGCCGGCGCTGGACTCCGGGAGGAACGCAGCACCTTCGTTTGGACAGAGGAAACATCGGCGCGCGCGCAGTGCGAGACGTGTCCAACGGCAGCGAGCATCTGGCCCACGGCCGCGGGCCGCGCGCCGCCAGCGGGGTCCCGTCCAAGCCGTCGTTCCGCAGAGCGAGCTCCAGGGAGAGCGGGAAGAGCCCAGCGCAGGTGCGCCGCCCTCCCGGTGAAGCTGGAGCCGCACCCGTCTCGTAGTAAAGCCCAGCCCCGAAGCTCTGCGGCAGCCTCCGGCCTGGAGCCTGCGGGACGCACCTCCGCGCTGAGCTCAGCGAGGAGCGTCTGCGGGTGGCTGAGACGCAGGCACGTGTGCC